GAGGTTAGGGCTGTGCTCCAAGATAAAGTGGAGCCCCGCCCACTGGCCCTGCCTTCAAACTCCTCAGCAGTAAGGCCCCAACCAGACCCAGCAGAAGGACCCTTTCTCCCAGGCGCTTCCCTTTATCCCTAGCCTCATCTTTGCCTCCTACCCTCATTACACCCTTTCCTCACACTCCCTCTCCTCTCCTATCTTCCATCCTATCTCCTTCCTGCCCCCTCACCACATTCATTCACTTACTAAAAAAATAGTCATTAAACACTTACTCTGGGCCAGGCACTTAACTTATTGTAGGAGCTACAGGATAAATAAGGTTAGTCCCTGTCCTTTGTGGAGTTTAGTGAGGGAAGACAGACAAATATGATACCCCAACAAATATATCATTCTAGATTGTGGGCATTGTTATGTGACACAAGGAGAGGAGTGACTGGTAACACCTGATTTAATTGTGAGGATCTGGAAAGACTTCTTTGAGGACATAAAGTAGTTCCTAGTGAGAGACAAGTATATGCAAAGGTCCCTAAGCAGGTTCTTCCTCTCAGGGCAGAGGCTACAGCCAGGGCAGAGCAGTCTAGACCCAAGTGGGACAGGGTTGCACAGGAAGAGGCCAAGGGGAAGCTGAGGCCAGAGCTCCCACAGGTGGGGTTTAGAGTGTTAAGGGAGGGCTAATCTTCCAACAGAAGTGGACATTTCCTGGTTTTGTACAAGAAAGGAAGAAATGGCAATGGGGACCAACACAAATAGATTTGTGGCAAGCTGAGGTTGTCTCTGTCTTATGGCTTTTATTTTAAACACATACACACACAAAAAAAATAGAGGTGACTAGCTAGGCACCATGACCCATACCTGTAATCCTAGTGACTCCAGAGGCTGAGGCAGGAGGATGTAAGTTCAAAGCCAGCCTCAGCAACTTAGTGAGGCCCTAAGAAACTTACTGAGACTCTGTGTCAAAATAAAAAATAAAAAGGGCTGGAGATGTACCTCAGTGATAAAGCACCCTGAGTTAAATCCCCAGTACCACCGGGGGAAAGAAAGAAAGGGTGGAGGGACAGGAAAAGAAAAGAAAAAAGAGGTAACTAAAAGTGGCTGAGTTGAATGGGAGGCTTGAAGCTTGAAGGTATAAAATCCCAGTTGCTGGGGCTGAGGCTGTAGCTCAGTGGCAGAGCACTTGCCTAGCATGTGTGAGGCACTGGGTTCCATCCTTGGCAACACGTAAAAATAAACAAATAAAGGCGTTCTGTCCAACCTCAAAAAAAATTTTAAAAATCCCGGTTGCTAAGGGTGGAAAGGGAACTGATTGCTATGATTTCTGACTTGGGAGCACACAACTAAAGCTGATGAGGATTTTAGAGTGACAACACTCGATCCAGTGATCCTTAGCTGCCCAGGAGCCTAGTACTGGCAAATGTTGGGTCCATCTAGGACTGGCACTTAACCAGAGAGGTGGGATGAGGAGGACAGAGAGGGAAGGGGAGTGGACGACATTTATCAAAGAGGGATTGTAGTGGTGAAACTGCAACCCAAAGCAAAGAAAGGGAGACCTAAAGATGGGAAGGATCACACGGTTCCCCACAATGCTTGTTGAACAGCTGCAGTGAACCAACTTCGCAAGTGAACCAAGAAAAAAGATCATATCATAGAGGGGATGTTCAATTCAGTTATTTCGTAGGTGCTACAGTTTCTGGTGATAAGCCTCTGGGTATACCCCTGGGAGTGGCTTACTGGAGTGGGATGGAGGAGCATGTTAGGGGGTGAAGGAACCAAAAGGCCAGCATGCTGGCAGAGCGTCCATGTGGGTGATGACACATTCACGATGACTGTGCTCCTTATCAATCCCTTTTTGTACCCACCCAGCTCATCACCTCCTCTCCCCTCATCACTAAGTTCCCCCTCCATGCCAGTCTCCTTCATCCCACCACTCTTACTTCTATTCTTTCATCTAAGGTCATCCTCTCGTATCCCAACATTCTCTCTCAACATTGTTCCCTCTGCTTGCCACCAGCTTTTCTCCTCACCCTAGTCTTCTATGTCCTCTTTCTCTCCTCACAATGCTGCCTCCTCTCTACTCTATGCACTTGAGAAGCAGCACCGCATTGTGGGTAACACCTGTGCTCAAGGGCCCATGAGGGTTCAAATCCTATACTGCCACTTGCCATCTATGCACATTGCCAACTTCACTGTGCTGTGCTGGGAGGGTAATAATAATGGTAATAATAATAATGATAATACCACCTACCTTGTAAGGTTGCTGGAAGAATTGGTTGAGTATAAAGTACTTGGAACAATGTCTAGGCATAAAGTAGTGCTCAATAAAATGATTTTATTATCACTCTGTTTTTACATCCTTGCTCTTTCCTCCCCTTCAAACCCCACCCCCAGTCTAGCAAGGAAACAAACAGCCCCCAAAAGTCAGGATAATACAAGCAGTGCTACTTCAAAGATGTGAAAGAAATGCTATTGGAAAACAGAGTATGGGCTGGGGTTGTGGCTCAGTGGTAGAACACTCGCCTAGCGTGGGTTAGGCCCTGGGTTCAATCCTCAGCACCACATAAAACACACACACACACACATACATACATATATATATATATACACACATACATACAGAGTAGGAAAATTAGCGCCAGCTCTGCTAGAAGAAGTCAAGTCTCAACAGGAAAATAATCTGGAACTTGAAAGAATTTGCAGTGCAAATGAAGGAAAGAGGTGTCTCAACGGGAAATCACTTAAGTGTTTCTTCCAGGGTCTCCTACATCTGCATAGGATTGATAGTAGGTCCTCAACAAATATGTTAGTTGACTGACACATCCTCTGTGAGGCTTCACAGAACCTACTCACAGGAATACAGGGGAGGGGAAATAAGGTATTCTGTGTTTCTTCTGCTACAGTGTGCAAAGTTCCACCCACAGTAGGTAGTCAAGATCAACCCCTACCAGGGAGAGGAGCGCCCTCTCATCATGGCCACAAGGGGGCAGCAAAGCATTAGGTGGGCCTGCAGAGTTAGGCCTGGAAAAGTGGAGAACCAGGCAGTCAGAATTTGAATCCGTCACAGGAATCCTAATCAGGAATATATTCCCCTAAAACTCTGGAGGAGAAAAAAGACCTCAAACACTTGGAGAAGACTAGGTTTGCCTTAGAGAAAGAATGAGAGTCTCCTAAAGATTTGTACACGTTGATAATGTTTAAATTTAAAAAATTCTTAAAGTTGAAAGTCTACATATAATATGTATCCTTTACTTGACTATTTTCCAGGAGCTAAACACTTGTTCTCAGCACTTTATAAATATTCACTTATTGTCACAACTCTGAATACAATCATCCTCCTCCCTTTCGTGTATGTGTGTTTCTGTTTCCTCCTGGTACTGGGGATGAAACCCACAGCCTCCTTCATACTAGGTAAACACTTCACCTCTGAAGACATCCCCAGCCCTTTTTTTTTTTGGGGGGGTGGTACTGGGGATTGAACTCAGGGGCACTTGACCACTGAACCACATCCCCAGCCCTATTTTGTATTTTGTTGAGACCAGGTCACACTGAGTTACTTAGCACCTTGCCACTGCTGAGGATGGCTTTGAACTTGTGATCCTCCCGTCTCAGCCTCTCAAGCCGCTGGGATGTGCCACCGTGCCTGGCTAATTTTTTATTTTATTATGTGGTACCGGGGATTGAACCCAGGGGTGCTGGAGCCTTGCTTAGGGCCTTACTAAATTGAACTTGCGATCCTCCTGCCTCACCTCCCAAGCCACTGGGATTACAGGCGTGTACCATCACACTGGTTCCTTTTCTAAATTTTTTATTTTGAGACAGGTCTTGCTGAGGTTTACCTGGAATTCGTAATCCTCCTGTCCCAGGCTCACTGGGATTACAGGTATGCAACACCATGCTAAAACTGACCCTCTTCCTCAAAAGTTAATAATGGGATTAGTAGGTTTTGCCCCTTTATCCACACACTGAAGGCTCCACTCTATGGGTTGTGCCAGAGCCTGATAGGAAGCAGGTGTACTCCAAGCAGTTTAAAACATGGAGGGAGAGACACTAGGTCAACCCTTTAAACAGAGGATGACAAGCTGGTTGTGGGAGGAGAGGCCCCTCCTGCAGAGGTGGTCCCCCTCCATCTCTGGCAGGTATGAAATTTGAGTTGGAGGTGTTAAGAAAAGCTTCCCAGAATGATTGCAGGAAAGGTAGGAATTAGCCAGGCAGGGGAGGAGGGGGTATCCAAATGGGGCAAGGGACAGGAGGTGAAAGCACAGAATGAGAAAAACAAAACAAAGAGTTCCAAGTTTTCTTAAAAACAGCTTTGAACAACTATTAGTGTCCATTTTAAGAGTTTATTTTCCTTACCCTGCAGGCCTTTAAGAAGGTTCTGTGAAGTCTCACAGACCTAGCACAACAGCCTCCCATAGAATGCATCAGTCAACTAACACATATTTGTTATGCACCTACTGACAGACCTACACAGATATAAGAGATACCTTCAAGTCTTGCAATTTAGTTAGAAGCCTGCCATTTCTGACACAGGCTAGTGAAGTGCAGAGGCCTGTTTACCCACCTGTGTGCAGGCATTAATGCAGAGTGCCCAGACCACCACCATTGTGCTGATACCAAATTTTTTAGTTCTGGAGAGCTTTCAAGATTTTCTACTCAGAAAGGCAGGAGAATTAGGATGTCAGACAAAAGTGGGTTAGGAAAGGGTGCCACAGTGGAAAAGGAAGACTTATCCCTGGAAAGATCAGAAGAGGCCTCAAGATAACACTCCCCTCCCCCAGCACTGCACCTCAGGCACCCACAGAAGAGGATGGCTTTGGTCCTTGTGGTTCATATCCAACCTGCTAGCAGAGAACTGTAGATTTAGTCAACAACACTAAAATCCTGGAAAAACAAGAGTGGTGGAGGGGATGTAGAGACAGAGTAAAGCCAGGAAAGGCAGAAACAAGTGAATCAGGGAAGAAGGGAACAGAAGACAAGGTGCAGGGCAGACTGCAGAAAGTTACTGATAGAAGATGCTGCTACTATTCCTCCTTGGGGCAGCCACAGGCAGATGTCTACATGACGAGACTCAGAAGTCCGTGAGCCTTCTCAGGCCCCCTTTTTCCCAAATGGCCCCAGACTTCCGCTCCTCCTACCTCACCCTCCCCAACTCCCTTGATCCTCAACCCCTCCGAATCCAAACTTACTATATAGGAGAGCCTACATCTGATGGAGCTTGGGATCCTGAGGGGGATGTAATGAGAGGGAGATCCCAAGCCCTGACTGCAGTGAGAGAGGCCACTCAGCGAATCCATGGTGTCCTAGCAGGTGAGTAAGGAGATGTGAGGGGACCAGAGAGGGAGGGAGGGCCAAGACCAGCACCAAACTGAACTCAGTGATGTTGAAGCAGAATTGGCCTCATCTTATTAAGTCCCTCCAGTGCAAGGACCCCTGCTTCTGAGTCGAGATCCTACACAGTACTGTCATGCTGTCTGGGGAGACCCAGATACCCCAAACTACCACAGGTGAGTTCATGTTACCAGCAGAACATACAACAAGCCTTCAACATACCTGAAATGGCTCCAGCTCAACACGGATACTCTTGGCAGGTGCAGCCTCTTGAACCTAGGGTACAAAGGAGAGACTTGCCTGGGAGCAAAGGTAAGAGACTTTCCAATCTTAGGGATCTGAAGATCTCTTAGACCTCCCCAGGACCTCTAGCATCAGAATTACTCAATTCTGCTTTGATAACAATGTGGAATAATTGGTCCCTCTCTACCACAACCCCAAAATATATTAAAGCAAGTCAGGTGGCTGGAGGCAGAAATCTGTATTCTCATGGGTGGGTGGAAGGCACTAAGACAGTGATACTCTTCTCCTTTCCTCCTAGCACCTAGTCTCCCACTGTCCATATCCTTCTGCTGAGCAAGATGCCACATCTGACTCCTTTACAGATACCTGATGCCCATCTTCATGGTTATACCTTGTGGCCAGAGCAGGGTCCCCCACAACTGATCCAGCCAGATGGGCCTGGGGTCCAGAACACTGATTTTCTCCTATATGTGCGGATTGCCCACACTTCCAGGTGCCACCAAGAGGTGAGGTTCAAGTCAAATCTCTCCACCCTGCTGTGCCTCCCTTAATCTTAAATCTCATGAGGAGAAGTAGAGAGGATTGATACAGTTTTTATTAAATTGTGCTTCTTGCACAGGAGCTAAGAACTCACCAAACCATGCCTTGGTTACACCCTTCAGAGTTCTACCGTCTCCAGGTCCTTCATTTTCAGGGGAATTCTCTCCATCTTGTTATCTCTTTTCTTCCTTTCCACCCCTACCCTCTCCTGGCCCATCTGCAGCCCTCTATCATAGCCTATTCTGCCTGCTGCCAGCTGGACTCAGAAGACAGGCCCCTTGCTGGTACCATTGTCTACTGTGCCCAACATTTTGTCAGCCCCAGCCTCAGCCATGGTGACATTGTAATGGTAATTGGTGCATGATGATTAAGGACAAGCAAATGGGTGGAGGGGCAGGGGAAGTGGACACAGGTCACACAGCTTCCCATGAAGTAAAGAACCTACTTAGGATGGGACAGAAGGTACCTCATGCTCTATGGAGCCGATGGCTCTGGGCACAGGGGCACGTGCCTGTAATGTCAGCTACTCTGGAGGCTGAGGCAGGAGGATTGCAAGTTGGAGACAACTTAGCAAGACCCATCTCGAAATTTTAAAACAGCTGAATGGGTAGATTTGGCTATAGAATCTGTTGGTTAATTCTGCTGCAAATCCAGTCCCCTTCACTAAAGTCATTTGTCCTTAGGCCACACTTCATGAATTGCTCCATATCCTGGGCTTCTCTGGACAGCTTTTCAAGAAGTGGCGGGATTGCCCCTCCGGACTCAACAGTAAATGGGAGGAATGAGGGAGAGAATTATGCAGTGTCAACCAGAGGGAATTAACCATCTTATGACCTCCTTCCTTTCAGTTGTACTTCACACTTCCTAGGTTTTCATCTCCTCATATTGCCATCTTCTCTTTCTGTACCCAGTTAGAGAGAATTGTTCTACAAGGCAACAAGTGACAAGGCGAGATAAGTGGGGACAGCTGCTTCTCACCACYCCAACTGTTAGCCACAGCCTGGCCAAACACTTGGGAGTATTAGGGGTTTCTCTGGGTGTTCCCCTGGAAGAAGAGGTAAGAGTGATAACTCCGTGGGATGATGAAGAAAGAGGGAGTAGCGAGACACAACCAGCTATCTGCTCCCTCCTCTAGCAGGGCCCTTCATCCTCACACTGGGAGGCCAGACTGCTCCAGGGTTCTATAATGGCTGCTACCTTCAATGGTGCCCAGCGCACTCAACTTGACTCAGTCACTCTTGCTGCCTTCCAAGATTCAGGCTGGTATCAGGTCAACCACAGTGCTGCAGAGGAGCTGTTGTGGGGCAAGGGTGAGAAATAAGGGAGATCTGCAGAGTAATACTCATGACCCACATTAGCTCTGAGAGAAGTGGGATAGGTTGGAAGGGATCATCTGCTGCTAAGGTAAAACTCAGGCTGTGCATAGGAGGTGTTGAGGGATGTGTAGGGCTTCATTTGTTGAAGGCTCTCCTCTCTTTTCCTTTAGGATCTGGTCTAGAATTTGGCTTGGTGACCACATGTGGGACCAGCTCCTCAGACTTCTTCTGTACTGGCAGGTATGTGTGCTGAGTGGGAGAGGATGGAACAACCGTCTGTAATTTGAGTGTCACTCTACCATTCCTTCCACATAGTGGGATGGGCTGCCACTACCTGCACTTGGACAAGGGAAGCTGTTCCTCAGACCCCACACTGGAAGGCTGCCGCATGTACAAGCCCCTCGCCAACAGAGTGAGTAGACCAGTGAGCTGGGTTAACAATGGAGTATACCTGGAAGGGAGTCAACTTCTAAGGAATCAAAGCACACACTTTCCTACTTTCTGCCTTTTCAGAGTGAATGCTGGAAGAAGGAAAATGGGCTCCCAGCTGGGACAGAGAATCCCCATGGGGAGATCTACCATTCCCAGAGTCGCTGCTTCCTTGCCAACCTCACCTTACAACGGCTCCCTGGGGATAAGACCAGCCATCCCTCTCAGATCCCAAATCTCAAGGAAGCAAAGCTCACTGGCCGTTGTTATTTACATCAATGTACCCAAAGAGGAGCATATGAGGTGCAAGTAGAGGGATCACCTTGGGTCTCGTGTCGTCCAGGAAAGGCTATTCAGGTGGGTACCTTAAGAGGAAGAGTTGTGGCACACTGGCAAAGAGAAGTTAGAAATGCTGGTATGGTTGGTAGGATTGTACAACCTGTTGTGATAGTCATTTTTTTTTTTTAACCAAGTACTGAGCCCATGACTCTAGAATGTATTCCTTTGAAGGAAAGTTTGAATGTGTAATTGAGGCTATTAACTAAGCCTTTTATGAATTTCTTTGCAGATACCTGGGTATCATGGTCTTCTCTACTGTCCCCAAGGTCGGCTATGTCAGGCCAATGAAGGTAACAACTCTGTTACTTCTCTACCTGTGAATCTTTCAACCCAAGAAGTGCTATTCAAGCTGTCTTTATGATTAGCTGGACCCCCAGGCCACACACTGCAGGAAGAACAGAAAGAAGAGCTGGCTGAAGCAGTACTGCAGGCCCTGGTGAACAGAAGTGGCACTGGCAGGTAAAGGGAACAGTTCAGGCCATTTATACAGTGGGCCATGGAGAACATTCAAGTTCTTTATTCTCCTCGGAAGACCTTCTGTTCTTACTCCTAAGTCTACACCTGTTTTATGACATACACTCTTCCAGGAAATATTCCTCCATTAAGAGACTCAAATGTCCATTTAGGTGCTATTTCCATAGCCCATCAATTACCACTAGTTTGGTGTTCACTGTGCATATGTGGAAATCCCCTGGCTGCCAAGGGCCTTCGGTTGCTATGCTGTACAAGGCCCTCACCCTGACTCTTCAGGAGAAGCCCTTAGAAGTGTATCATGGAGAAGCCAGTTTTACCACAGAATATATCAAGTAAGACAATATTCCAAGCAATTTTTTGAATCCCTGGACTCCAGATGTTCAAAATTGCAGTTATTAAGCATGTTAATGCATATTGTTTTAGACATGGCTACGTATTTCAGAAAATAAGGATCTCTAACATGATCACCTTGGACGGATCATTATGACACCTCACAACAAATAATAGAGTTCCCCCATCTTGAAGAATCCTAGATCCCTTAGATGTTTACATAACATCTACCCAGAGATGTTATCCAAATAACAGAATCTGATTCTTTCCTTAAGCACTTCCCTAACAGATCTCCTTCCAACAATTTAAGTTGCTGATGGATCTTGGTCTTATTCCTACATTCAGGTTTTATACTCCTTCTTATAGATTTCCTGTTTAACTTACTTCGTGAATGAAGCAGGGTTTCATGAGTTCTGTAATATAATGGTAAACCTTCACCTCCTAAACTGAGGCATTACTCTTGGCCACATTCTGTGCTCCTAGGTTGCTGGTTTCCTGGGACCATAATCCTTCCACGACCCAAATCACTCTGTCTGTGGGACTCTGCCTACTGCTGCTAATTCTGGTGGGTGCAACAGGAATTGTGGCCTATCAGAAACAAGCAACTCTTCAGGTGGGACCATCTGCCCCATAACATTACTTGATACATGATACACAAGGGACCCAACTGGATGAACAAAAGAAGCATGATGTTACCCAGAACATGACAGGGTGTAGCATAGATTATTTAAGACACAACTAGATGGAAAAATCTGTTATGTACACCTTTCTACTTTCCCTGGAATGCCTCCTTCCAGGTTATCAACTTCATACTAGTCTGGCAATGGAGGGGTGGGGTGAAAAACTAGAGTCTCATGGTTATAAAAATTTATTTTGGTACAAAAAAATAAACTAACCTGTAAAGTATCACTTATTTTCACACTGTCTTTTTGTTATTTTGGTACTAAGGATTGAACTCAGGGACACTTTACTACTGAGTCCTTTTTACTTGTTGGGACAAGGTCTCAAGAAGTTGCTTAAGTTGGTCTGGAACTTGCAATCCTCCTGCCTCAACCTCCTTAGTAGATGGGATTACAGATGTGTAACACCACATCCAGCTATTTACATACTATTGTAGAGCAACAACAGACACATCTGCTACAGACTTCAATATCATGTGTGCTTTAGAAAAAGTTCATTACAATTTGGTATTTTATCAATTTTCATTGCTAATTGGGGTCAAACAGTGTGAAGGAGGGAGTAACTAATTATCTCCCTTTCCTGATTTTCCATAATTTTACTAAATCTCCACTGGGAGACCCAGTGGTTGGGATGTTGCATAATTATGCTAGAGTATGGGAAGGGTAGTAAAACCAGAATCCCACCAAACTATAAAAATATCTTTCCTTAGTCATGGTAGCATATGCTCATAAATGAGCAACTTGGGAAGCTAAGGCAAGAAAACTCCAAGTTTGGGGCCAGCCTCAGCAACCTAGTAAGACTCTGTCTCAAAAAAAGGGAGAGGGGGATGGGAGTATAGCTCAGTGGTAGAGCAACACTGGGTTTAATCCCCAGTACCCCTCCCCCAAATAACACTTTTTCTTATTCTTCTCGCCTGTTTCTATAGAAGGATTCTACTTTATATCCTTCATGAGCCAGCAATAGACTTCAGTTGTAACATGAAGGTTCCTTTCAGTTACAGTTGCAAAAGTCATTTACATTTATGAGGTTTTGACATCTCTTGGAAGGAAGCAAACTAGGAGACTGATTTGGATCTGCTTAAATGGAAAACAATTTCACTAGGAATCCAGAGGAAATGCTGGTAACGTTGAAGTAACCATACCTATACTCATATGTAAGTTCAGTCAGCTCATTGAGATACTATCCCCAAATCTTTAAGTGACACATTTGAATTGAGTCACTGTGGAGAGATGGTCTTGACTCCACCAGCTGTGGTTATTTTCTTTGATCTGAATGTCTATCAATCCTTACCAGCTGTAGCAGCAACTGCTTGGTAAAACTTTGCCACGAAGTCTGGGTCACTGACCTCCAGTTGTCTGACAAATTCATTGCGTTCCTGCTCAGCCCAACCTTGAAACCACTGATCCCAAAGACGTAGCTGACATTCAAAGATACAAGGTGGTCGGTTTACACCAGATACACTAAGTTGCTCCAGACCATCCAGCAGTGGCTGTAATTTTCCTGGCACTGCCTTTGCTACCAGGTCCTGTAGAAAACGTTCACGCTGGGGACCTGACCAACTGGCAAACCAGTGAAGAATACACTTCATCTCCTGGGAAGTGATGTAAGACATGGGGGGAGGGGAAGAGTTGGTAATATTGTCTGGTACTGAGGGTAATGGAGAAGGGAAGGATAGTGGCATTGAAGAGGAAGATGATTCCAGTGGCATCCTGAAACATAAAAGCACTGTTATACACTCTTATTGCCAACACGGCAAAACCCTGTCACATCAACAACAAAAACATTGAAAACATCATATAGTGTGAAAGGGCCTTTCTGCAATATGCATATAGTCTCTGAAGTTTGCAAGAACTTCATATTATCCATGAATCCAGGATCCCCTTAATATTTTCTATAAAGCACAAGGGAACACTAAACAGCAGAGTGAGGACCTTGTCCCAAATTAGATAAATTAGAAAACCAAGAGAAGCCAGGTCTTCAAGGGTCTGAAAAACAAGTTGGTTTGTTGACTTATATGGATCTAACAAGTGTTATACTGATGTGTGACAATTTGTCATTGAACCATTTTCCTTAATGTGTTTTTGTGTTTCTTAACGTGTTTGTGGTACTGGGGATGAAATCCAGGGAAATTTTACCACTCACCTACATCCCCAGTCATTTTGATTTTTTATTTTGAGGCAGGGTCTCGCTAAGTTGAGGCTGACATGGAACTTGTAATCCTCCTGTCTCAGCCTTCTAAATCGAGATGTGTACCACCAGGCAGGCTCCTTAATGCTTTATGTACCTATAGGTGACCTCCTATTCATTTTACACCTGAATGCAATCGAACGATCAATTTGATTTGAGTAGTTTCCAGCACTACAGTCTGAATTTCTAGCAATGAAAACCTTAAATTATTTGTCCATGACCTATATTGCTGTTTGTGTTTCTTCTGCTCTTAAGTTGGAAGATTTGCAGTGACAAATAAAGGAACCCCTAAACAATTAACATCAGTTCAAGTATCCAAACACTGTTCAAGGTGACTGCCATTTTCAAAGTGGCCAAACGAGAAAGGGAAAATTTCGGGATCAGCAAACTCAAGTTCAGTGTTATGAATCAGTCAGTACACTATCTGTGTCCAAAGATATAGTGCTGCCTCTAGCCCGCTTTGGAAGCCACGAGTAACTTATTCCTTAGATGGAGTGGCGGGGATTCGGAAGATGGGGGACGGTAGTTATTTGCATAAGGAAGCACGAGGCTTGCCCTACTAAGGTAATCGGCAAACACCGAGTATGACCCAAGTAAGGACTTCTTCCTTTCTTACCTCCTGGAATCTCAAAGAACACGGAGACCGTCACAAGAGTTCTTTGACTCCAACTACAGCCGCTGCTTCCATATTTCCTGAAATCCCTAAACAGGGCCAGCCCGGCAGCCCACGCACTTCCGGTCTCGAACCAGCCCCAAACACCCAAGAGCCCCAGCGCTTCAGCTCCAAGACCGGAGATGACCGAATATCTCCGATTACGGGCATGCCAGAGTCGAGGGCTTCCGAATAGATTCGATTTAAAGCCTCGGCAAGGCGAATATAACCGAGCCTCAAAGCAGGGTGAGGGAGGAGAAACTGCAGGGCGGAGGCAAAGAACCGATTGGTGCCGATGTGAAGACGGAAATACCCGAGCAGTTCCGGAAAAATCCGGGGAGCTTTGAGTGGTAATCGAGGGGCAGACTATGGCAGTGGGCGGGGTCAGCTCGGTACGTTCGAAGGGCGTTGGCGGAAATTACCGAAGATGCCCGAAGCCGTCGGGACGGACCCGAGTACCTCACGCAAGATGGCGGAGCTGGAGGAGGTGACTCTGGACGGGAAGCCTCTTCAGGCGCTGCGGGTGACCGACCTGAAGGCCGCACTAGAGCAGCGAGGCCTAGCCAAGAGCGGGCAGAAGAGTGCCCTGGTTAAGCGGCTCAAAGGGGTGAGAAGTCGGCGTTGCCTGGATGTCGGTGGGGAGCGGACCCGGTAGAGACTAGTCTCTGCCGCGGCGCAGGCGCAGTGTTCGGGCTCCGCGCGAGCTCTCTCAGGCCGCCAGCGCGAGCCTGCGGATCCGCGCGCACGGTAGTTGGTGAGGCTCGCGCTGGAACAGAGACCGCGCCGGTTCCCGCCTTAACGGCAGCAGCGCGAGCCCAAAATGGGAGGGTGCGCGCTACTCTCCTGGAGTGTCTTAAGCTCCTTCCTCCTTCCCCCACCCCCTCCTTGTTTGTGTCTGTGGTTTCGGCGCATGCGCTGCAGAAGGAGTTAAATCCCACTACAACCACCAGCGTTGCTGGCCTGAGGGGGGCGAGTTGGTCTGGATCCGAGTTAGGGGTACAATTGGCGGAGGGGTAGCTGGGGTTGGTATCTGTATCTGCAAGAATACGATTGGGATAGAGTAAAAAATGTCTGCTTGATTAGATTAGGAGGTGAGATGAAGAGACCCTGATTTGAAGGCACTTGGTGATAGTGGGGTGTCTAGTTTATAGGGAGTCCAGAAGCAATTTGAGTAGATAAGGATTTGGTGAATATTGAGAGAAAGTGAGTCAGGTTAGTATATGTTGGAGATTTTGAATCGATTTGAGTACATGGGGGTGGGCTTGTCTTGAGGTAGGTAGATGGATTGGTGGGTATAGGTTTGGTGAAAATGGAGGGAAGATGAAGTGTCTTGGCTTTAATTACAGTTCATTAGGATACGTGGCAGGTAGTACCCATTAGGGCTAAGTTAGCTCAAGGATTGACTCGGCAGACCGTTGCTTATACAGAAGCTGACGGTTTTGTGTGGGTGGTTGTGGATTAGGTCAGACCACAGTTTACAGGGTTTGTGGTCATTTTCTAATGTAGCCTTCTTTTTGAAATTTTTGTAAATTTGATAAGTCTAGGTGTCACTCTGCTGGAATATACAAGTTCACTCAAGTAGTTCTAGTCCTGGGTAACTGATCCAAGTAATTCATTCAGGCCCCAAACAGCAGCCCCATGTTGGTTTTATGTATTCAAAGCTTGTTTGAGTATTTGAAATGTTCTTACCTGCATGGGGAGTTTTAGAAGGGGCTCTAGTTAAAAGTGCAAAGATATTGAGATTGTAATACTAGTCTGTCACACCAACACTGATTTATGATATAACCAGGTCACTGATTGTCTGTATGCCTGTATCTTGACATTTGTAGATTAGGAGGGGTAACCAAGGCCACCTTTAAGGGTCTTCAGAATATGAATGAGAACAATATTAATAAAGAGCTTTCAGGGCTTCATAAAAGAAGTACAGTTTAAATGTGTATTTAAGTTATTGAATTTAATGAAAAGGTTGTGGAAGGGGTGGAGATTTGATTTCTTCCTTTTTTTTTCCCCCTGGTTTCTGACTTTTGCCCTTCTCTGTACCAGGCTCTAATGCTAGAAAATTTACAGAAACATTCAACACCCCATGCTGCATTCCAGCCAAATTCCCAGGTAAGAAAGAAAGTTTGTTAGATAGAATGGGCTGTTTGGAGATTAGACACACATGGAATGACCTGGTTTTGTATATTTGAAGCTTAATTTCTCACCAGTATTTTCCTAAATTCCTTTGGTTGGAAGTATTCTCATAGTAGGGTAATTGAATTCTAAACAAGCCCAGTTTTACACGAGGGCTTGGGGTGAAAAACAGAATCAGGAGCTACCTGTTAGTTTTAACCTGTTAGTTTGAAGTGGTGTGTGCCAAAAGGTATGGCTTAATGTAGTATAAGCATCTGACATCATTTATTTGCCATTGGTTTGGGAAAAGTAGTGGATGTAAAAAGTAGGTCACCAGTAGGACAGTGTAGGAAAATACCTGCTGATCAGGAACTTTGGTTGACATAATTTTTCCAAAAATCCAATCTCTGTAAATCACCCACCCTTTCTGTTGGTACCTACTAACTATATGTGGTCACTATTAAACATCACTAATAGCTTTGCTATTTAGGAGAAGAAACTTAAACTTGGAAGGCCTTGGTTTCCTCAGTTTCCCTACCTGTACTATGAGCAATGGTTGGACTAGAACTGTAGTTTCATAACTGATCTTCTGGAATTATGTGTAGCTGCTTTTATGGATTACCAAAGAAGATACCTTCTTCAGAAGTAAGCAAAGTTTGTGTCTTTCTCTTAAACCAAATTAGTTTTTATTTTTCTCTTAAACCAAATTACCATTTTTATTTGCTTTCTATATTGAGCTTCTGCATAAGATTTCCTCTAAAGACATTATTCCGTCGTTAAAAACAAAAATTCTTAGACTGCAAAATTTCTTGGGGATCCTGTCAGCTTTTAAAATCCCCTCATTATAATGTGTCACACACTTAAAGGAAAAACCCAGGTCTTTGTTAATGAAGTGTTGAGCAACCCTAGTGCTAGATGAAGTCCCAGGATACTGTGGAAAATAAGAGAACCTTCCTACTCCCTTGTTACCATCTCATTAAGCTGTAAGTATCATGATCTAGCCGGTTTTCAGAGGTTTAGTTGGTATCTTTACAAGTATAAAAAAACTGTATAAACTAATCAATTTCAATTGTATTCCTTCTGTTAGTTGCATTTTGGTCTTTGAAGTTTTGTAACAAACATGCTTATTCTCTAATACATGCAGCCCACATTTTATCACTGTCCATTGAATACCAAGGGATTAATTTCTACTTTAGATGAAAATAAACATTATTATGCTTAAGAAATATGACTAATAACATAGGAAGTATTTATTTGGGTTTCTTTGCTTTTTCTGATGTTCTAATAGGACATGCTAAGCAAGAAATGTTCTAGGGCTTGGGTACAGTGGCACGTGCTGTAATCCCAGCGGCTTGGGAGGCTGAGGCAGGAGACTAAGGCAGAAGGATTGTGAGTTCAAAGTCAGCCTCAACGAGGTACTAAGCAGTGAGACCCTGTCTCTATCTCTAAATAAAATACAAAATAGGACTGGGGATGTGGCTCAGTAGTTGAGTGCTCCTGAGTTCATTCCCCAGTGCCTGCCCGCTCACAAAATGAAAGGTTCTAGGGAGGAGGACATGAAAAGAAAAAACTGGACAAAAGAAATGTGGAAATCTGTGTTACAGAAAAAAAGGGAAAAGGAATAAATCCCTGGATTCTAAATTTTATTTCCAAGGATTTCTTTTTGCTCCAGGAAGAAATGTAGTGAGGGTTTTTGTTTTTGTTTTTGGTGGTACTGGGAAAATGGAATTCTGCCTATGTGCTGAATGCGCATCCCTCTTTTTTTAGTCTCTTGATTTCATAATTTTAAATAATATACTTGAATTTTGGAGATGTTTGACAACATGATGGATTGGTAGGGCTTGAACTTTTTTATTGTTTTGTTTTTTGGTACTGAGGATTGAACCCAAGGATGTTTTACCACTGTGCTTACCACATCCTCAACCCTTTATATTTTGAGACAGAGTCTTGCTAAGTTGCTGAGGCTGGATCATCTTCCTGCCTCAGCCTCCAGAGTCCCTGAATTACAGGTGTGCACCACTGCACCCACATTGGTGGAACTTGATCCTTTTTTTTTGTTTGTTTAACGTTTTTTCCTTATTTATTTTTATGTTGTGCTGAGGATCAAACTCAGTGCCTCACTTGTGCTAGGCAAGAGCTGTACCACTGAGCCACAACCCCAACCGGGAACTTGATCTTTTGAAGGATATAGTAGTGTTCTTATCCTTTCAGTTTTAATTTGGAATATCTTTACAGAATGTTCTAGATTGTCTAAGAATTTAGATTAAAAGGCATAATTTGGGTTGAGAATGTAACTAATTGGGAAAATGAGAGCTTAGCATGCATGAGGCCTTGGGTTTGGTCCTTAGCACCAAAGAAAGGACATAGTTTCTAGGAATTCTTCTTTCTAAGTTGTTGTGCACCAGCATCACTCTTGGTTGGGAACTAAATATTTAAAATAAAAAATGTCTTCTTCTTTTTGCCATCTTCTGCTACTCACAAGGCTGAATTTTAATAAAGGAATAGTCAGAGAACAACCTTCTAACACTTTTGTTTTCTTTCTTGGACTCCGCTTATGGAGTAGACCTTTGCTCTGTGAAATTTTCTTCCTTGCATTTTCCTGATTTGCTTTCCTAGATCATCTTTTTCCATTTCCGCTTCACAGATTGGCGAGGAAATGAGCCAGAACAGTTTCATAAAGCAGTATCTGGAAAAGCAGCAGGAGCTACTTAGACAGCGTTTGGAACGTGAAGCTCGAGAAGCTGCAGAACTTGAAGGTAAGCCCAGATTGTCACTTATAACAAGTTTTTTATTCTTATCCCTGTCACAATGTAGATAGGCCTGTCTAACTAGGCAATTTCAGGAATAAGGCTGAGACTGCTGCTCATTTGCTTTGTAGTTTATGAAAACAAGTGAGTTATATTTACTTTGTCAGGGAAAGGACACTTAATTTGACTGTCTTGTTAGGTTTCCTGCCAATAGGAAAAGTTATAAGTAAATTTAACTACCATTTAGATGAGGTAGAGCTTAATCCTAGGGAGTTTTTTTTTCCTTTATGTACAGTGCTCTTTTTGGTGTGTATCTCTGTATCTATGACTTTGCTTGACATCCTTCACTCCTCTACATATTCCCAAATGCTGAGCCCTTCACTCCCTCCCTGCCCCGACCCAATCTGTACTTTGCAGAAGCTTCAGCTGAGTCGGAGGATGAGATGATCCATCCTGGGGGAGTGGCTTCCCTGCTGCCTCCTGACTTTCAGAGCAGCCTGGAGAGACCAGAGCTGGAGCTCAGCAGACATTCGCCCAGTACGTATCTCCCTCCCCGCTGCGCTTTTTTGTCAATCCTGCGTAGTTGGTGGGGGGAGGTAGTTATGCCTCCTTTCATGCTAAACCTTCATGAAAGTCTCAGGGAAATTCCATTACATTGATATTTGACACCTGTTTTTCAGGGGAATTATGTCTTTTTTGAAGTCTGCTTTCACCTATGTGTTGTGTTAACTTTTTAGCATTTTGAGGCAGTATGATTTTTCTACTCATCTACCTCTTCAGTCTCTTGTACTTCTGAATTTAGCAGGTCACAATTTACTTTGATCTCTTTATCAATTGTGTATAGTATGTGTTATACATCCAGTCATTCCTCCAATTAGGCACCCGATACAGTTATTAATTTATTCAACAAAAAATCTTTTTGAGGGCTGGGGATGTGGCTCAAGCGGTAGCGCGCTCGCCTGTCATGCGTGCGGCCCGGGTTCGATYCTCAGCACCACATACCAACAAAGATGTTGTGTCCGCCGAGAACTAAAAATAATAAATATTAAAAAATTCTCTCTCTCCCTCTCTCCTCTCTCACTCTATCTTTAAAAAAAAAAAAAAAAAAAAAAATCTTTTTGAGTGTCTATTGTATACCTGGCATGTGCCAGGCCCCAGGAAAATGCTAGCGAAAAAGCCAAGTCAGCTGTAAGAAAACTTAAGAGTGTAGTAAGGGGATGGGCTTTCAACAAATAATTACATAATTATAGTAGTGCTAAGTGTTTGAAAGGCAGTGCAGAATAATAAGTGAGCATATTATCAAGATCTCTAACCTAGTATGTGGGATTGGTTCAGGCAAGATTAATTTTTTTCACATTGTAAAAAATACTAGGCACACAATTTTGCATTGTATCTCATGCAGAAGTCTATAAATAATAGCCTTTGCTATTTGGCAACCACTTAAGACTTTTTATACTTTCAGGAGAGCATGTTTATATTTATAAGATGTGGATGGTAGGTAGATGTATTAAACCAGTATGTAATTTAACAAGTATTTTGAATATTATCACTGCTGTTAGTCATCAGTGGTAGTAGGGGGTGCCGCCTATTCAACACTTTAAGAATTTATGGAAGTTTCCAGCTCTTTTGATTAATGTAGGATTCATTAATGAAAATAGATTGGGGGAGGTATGTAATGATGAGAGAGACGTCTCCTGAAAGGTGAGGAAAAATGGAGGACCTTAGAGTCTAATTTTAGGATCTTGATTTGCTCAGTGCCTATTTTTCTTGATCCTATTCTTAGACCCATAGGGAATTTTGAGGGGGAAAAATTTTTTTTTAATTTTTATTTTCTTCATTAATTTCAGAACAATATTGAGAAAGCCATTTCATGTAAACCAATGCTTATCTATCCATGATATGCATTATAATACTTAGAAACTTTTTTTTTTTTTTTTGATACCAAGGATTGAACTCGGAGACAGTCAAACACTGAGCCACATCCCCAGCCCTGTTTTGTATTTTATTTAGAGACAGGGTCTCACTGAGTTGCTTAGCACCTTGTTTATCTGAGGTTCGCTTTGAACTTGGAATCCTCCTATCTCAGCCTCCCAAGCCGCTGGGATTACAGGCATGTGCCACCGTGCCTGGCTTGGAAACTTTTTTACATGCATGTTATTAGATTGTTAGGGATGAGGCCTGAGATTCTGAATTTCAGCAACTCTTGAAATGATGTAAGTGAGGCAGCTTTTGTCAATCTCTGAACCACATATCATGTAGCAGAGATCAAATGATTGGGTGTGTTCTCCATACCAGGAACATGAAGAAGCCACTAACACAGTTCAGTCTTACCTCCACACAGCTCAAGATCTGGGCTTCAGAAATAGGTCTTGGAGAGATGCCCTCCTAGCTGAGACTTTACCATCAGAGGGATGGAGAGTTGAAAATTTTTTCAATAAATTAACACTGGCAGCATGTTGGAATTATTAATAAGGTCCTTCAGGGACTTCTTTTCTCCTCAAATATGAAAGTAATAGACCCTCAGATGGTCCTCCTTAGTCTGAGTGCTCTTTTTTCCCTGACTGTAATGCCAAGAGGAAGAGGAAAGCTTTTCTGATTTTTTTTGGTATTGGGGAAATCAGAAACGCTTAACCACTGAGCCACATTTGAGACCCTTTTTTCCATATATATTTACAGACAGGGTCTCACTAAATTGCTTAGGGTTTCACTAAATTTCTGAGGCTGTCTTTGAGCTCATAATCATCCTGCCACAGCCTCCTGGGCCACTGGAATTACTGTGCCCAACAGGGAGGGGGACACTCTTGTTTAAATGAATTGTCAGTATCTTTTTTTCTCAAAAGCCAGTCAAGAAAATATATATTGACCTGGGTGCAGTGGTACATGCTTATAATGTGAGCAACTCAGGTGGCTGGGGCAGGAGGATTGCAAGTTTGAGGCCAGCCTCAGCAAGTTAGCAAGATTCTCATCAATATAGTGAGACCCTGTCTCAAAAGAAGGACTAGGCATGGTAAAGCACTCCTGGGTTCAATCCTCAGTACTGATTAAAAAAAAGAGAGAAAACACAGGATATTATTAGAAAGGACAAAGGCATAGAGATAGAAATGGTTATGATATTTTTAAAGAAGAGGTAGTATGTAGTATGGCAGAATAAAGTTATTTCATATTTGAGACTAGTTGTAGAAACAATCTAAAATTTTATTTTATAAGAAATGGTGGAATTGTTTAAAATTATGAATAGGACCAAAAAAAGAAAGAAGATAGGTTTTCTCAATTCTAAGTGTAGTTTGAAATGAAAGTGAGAAATAGATATTGAAATAAAAATAAGATTTCAAAAGCAAAGATTTAGAGTAAGGCTAGCCACTCTCTTCCCTGTTTTATGTCATTATTAGGATTCTTCCAGTGGCTATAATTGATGGGGGTAAAAAATATTCAGAAGTAAAAGAAAACGAGGGCTGGGATTGTGGCTCAGTGGTAGAGTGCTTGCCTAGCATGTGTGAGGCACTGGGTTCGATTCTCAGCACCACATAAAAATAAAGGTATTGTGTCCACCTACAACTAAAAAAAAATACATATATATATATATATATATATTTTTTTTTTTTTTAAGAGATGAAAAATGCATTAGAAAACATGAATGTGTTGGGCTGGGGATGTGGCTCAAGTGGTAGCTCGCTCGCCTGGCATGCGCGAGGCGCTGGGTTCAATCCTCAGCACCACATAAAAATAAAATAAAGATGTTGTGTCCACTGAAAACTAAAAAATAAATATTAAAAAAATTCATTCTCTCTCTCTTTCCCCCCTCCCCTCCTCTTCTCTTCTCTTCKCTCTCTCTCTCTTGTCTCTTTAAAAAAAAACAAAAAACAAAACATGAATGTAGCCTTGTGTGATGGCGCATGCCTGTAATCCCAGCAGTTTGGGAGGCTGAGGCAAGAGGATTGCAAGTTCAAAGACAGCCTTAGAAACTTGGCAAGGTTCCAAGTAACTTAGTGAAACCTGTCTCAAAAAAATACCTATAAGGGCTGGGGATGTGGCTCAAGCGGTAGCGCGCTGGCCTGGCATGCGTGCGGCCCGGGTTGGATCCTCAGCACCACATACAAACAAAGATGTTGTGTCTGCCAAGAACTGAAAAATAAATATTAAAAAAAAATACATATAAGAAGGGCTGGGGATGTGGCTCAGTGGTTAAGAGCCCCTGGAGACCCTGTGTTCAGTCCCTGGTACCAAAATACATTTTGGATCTTTGTCTTATATTTCAGTAACCTCTTGTTTTGTATTGCAGGCAGTATCCTAAACAGGAAGTTTATAAAATCCTCCTTGACTTTCCTTTTGACTTCTTTTATTTCCACCACTTAGACATTTTCGGGGAGGGCCGGGGGATTGAACTCGGGGGCACTTGACCCCTGAGCCACATGCCCAGATGTGGCTTTTTATTTAGAGACAGGGTCTCACTGAGTTGCTTAGCACCTCGCTTATCTGAGGCTAGCTTTGAATTTGCAATCCTCCTGCCTCAGACTCCCAAGACTCTGGGATTACAGGCATGCGCACCATGCCTGGCTTCGTTTTATTTTTTTAAGGTGTTGAGGAGTTAGTATCCACTCTCCATAGTCAGAAGTTGTCTATATATCTCCTTCTATGTCATCCCTGAATGTATTTTTCTTAGTTATCTTTTTTCCAGAAGAAATGCAATCTGGGAAAATACAAAAATATTTTAAAATATATGTTCAGAATATGAAATTTTTCTCAGAATACTGATGTTCTAAAAATATTTTTAGTTGTAGATAGACACAATACTTTCATTTTATTTGTTTTTCTGTGGTGCTGAAAATTGAACCCAGTGCCTCATACGTGCTAGGCAAGTGCTCTAACACTTAGCTACAACCCCAGCCCCAGAATACTGATTCATTTAACAAAGTTGTAGCCATGGATTTTCTTAGCCAGCCCTTTTCTTAGAGTTTGTAGCATTTCTAAGTGGTTAGAGATTCATCACCTCTTATTTATGTTTTCTTATTTATGTTTCATATTTGAGGGGTTTGTCTGGTTTTCACAAAACAATGATGACCAAAACTTTCTGCTTTGTTTCTACAAATCTTTTTGATGACCTAAGTGTTTCCAGAGGAGTAAAAATCCAGAATCAAATGTAGTTTTTACAATATCAAAAATAATATCATAGGGGCTGAGGTTGTGGCTCAGTGTTAGGGCGCTCACTTAGCACGTGCGGGGTGCTGGGTTCATCCTCAGCASTACATAAAAATAAATAAATAAAATAAATGTATTGTGTCCAACTACAACTAAAAATATATATATTTAAAATATAGCTGGGTGTGGTGGTGCACACCTGTAATCCCAGCAACTTCAGAGGCTGAAGCAGAAGGATTGCAAGTTTGAAGTCAGCATGGGCAACTTAGCAAGGCCCTGTCAATTACAGTGAGGACTGAGTATTGTGTTGCACATCTGTAAACACAGCTACTTGGGAGACTGAAGCAGGAGCATTGCAAGCTGGAGGCTAGCCTCAGCAATTTAGTGAGGTCCTGTCACAAAATAAAAAATAAGAACTTGAGGTACAGTTCGGTGGTCAGAGTCTGAACCATCATTATAAGTATCATAATTATAAGTATCATAATCATTATAATTATCATAATTCTGCACATAAAATCATAATCTGAGAGCCTGTTAATCAAGTGATTATGAAATAAAGTTTTACAAAATTGTCTTATAGTCATTTCATTAGTTTTTTTTTTTTTTTGCTTTGGTCACTACAGTAGCAAAGCTTAGTTCATGTTAGAGTAATGGGATATAGAAATAAGAAGATCTGGAATTAGTTTTTACCATCTGCTTTATCTGCACTAGTTTAGATGCTATTAATTTAGAACATGGTTCTCTGGATCGTTTAAACCTTTTGTGTTGTGCCAAAACTGAACTCCATCTAGTCGATTAAATCTGAAACACAGTTAGTTACCTTTGTGCTTTTTGTTTGTTATTTTTGCAATGCTGGAGTTCCAACCCAGGTCTTCACACATTCTAGACAAGTGCTTTACCACTGAGTTATTCTCTTTGCTCAACTAGCATCAAGGTCTTATCTCTTCCTTCTATCACTGAACTATACTCGTAGTCCTTCTATGTAATATTTTAATACTGGTAGGAAACTTCAAGTTCAACCCTATCCAAGACATGAAACTCACATTATACTTAAGTGATTTACTTACAGTTGTCTTCCTTCATAGAATATTAGTGAAACCTTCAGTTTTACATGGAATTCAGAATGACCTAGATTGGTGTTTTACAAACTTTATTTTAACAGCCACCACCCCCCCCCCCCCCCCCCCCCCCCCCCCCGC